GTTGATATACATACGTCATCAGAAGTAATGTTAAAAAAATCGGCAATCAGAAATCAGAAATCATCGATTTCTTTTTTTTTTTGATCTGCAAATTTCACATTTTTTTGCAAACTGCAATAATTAACTGTAATCATTTAATTAGACCGACTGTGACGAAGGCACAGGAGGGATATTATCGCGAGGATCACCTAACCTCATGATCATCGAAGCCATTGGACCTAGTGGCGTAAAAATGAAGTCATAGGTCGAATGATTCTTTTTGCATAATGATGAGGTCGCTGATCCGGCTATGAAATCAGATTGAGTGATTTTCTTTTTTTTGTTTGTTTTTGCATGAAGAATGAAGTCATTGATCCGACAGTTTAAAGATAGGAATAAGTAGCCGCAGTAATCAAAAGGAAAGTTGTGCTTTTCTTTCGCTGCTTTAGTAGTTGCCCGAAAACGATTTTCTGGCTAATTGAAGGTTCTCTAACACACATCTATTTGATACAAACTTGGTAACTCACAAATACACTTTCGTGTACAAAAATAAAAAAATAGCCCTTGACAATACACTCAAACAAGGCTTCGATCTAAGAGAACAAACAGATGAAATTGAAACATGTCAAAGTGACGTACGTTGCTCTCATATGCCTTGAAAAACTTCTGCACACAGCTAGGCCTAAGTACCAAAGGGAATAAGGCTGTTTTGATTGAGCGTCTCACAATTGCCAGTGGCCTGGCTCAATCATAGCAAAATATTTCAAATGAAACTATGGAAGTTAAAGCATCTGGGAACAATTGTGAAGAAGAGGATACCAATCAAGAGAATGTTTTTCATGGTGAAAGTCCAACTTTCAGTATGTCGCCCAAAGCTCTAAGTGATGATGAGTCACACAGGAAAAAACCAAAACAAATTAAAAAAAGCTCAAAGAGATAGGTGATATAAAAGCTCTGTTAAAAGAGATTAAACATTTGTGAGAGGATGTAAATTTTATCTTAGAGCAGGTTAAGTATCAAGCATGAAATCAGAGATCCACAAAAACTGGCCTGATGTGAAGTTCGAAAGGTCTAGGAACCAGTTTGAATGCAATGCACTTTGTGCTATTAGACATGACTTGGATTTGGTGTTAAGTACTTCAACAGCAGAAGAAGTCATCCATCATATTGAAAGTGCGAGGACAAAAACATTAGACAGAACAGTGGTTTTAAATATTGTGAAAGAGTATGGTTAGGAGGTTGCAGTGGAGCTACCACAATCAAAGAATAAGAGTTTATCAGCATATAGTAAAATGATTAAACAAGCAAAACAAGTAGCAAATTTGAAACAGGAAAAGAGAAAGTATTCAAATGAAAGATAGTTTTTTTGGAAATATGGATCTTATAAGAAACAAGATTTTAAGAGCCTTACTTGCCAAAAAAAGAAAGAAACAATAGCACCCTATCTATGGCTCTGCTACAGTTTTGTAAAAATTTATAAAAATATATAAAAATTTTAAGAGCTTGATCAGAAATTTATAATTTTCATTAAATATAGGATTTTTTTTTTTTTTTGGTATTAAAGTGAGGTCCTGCTCATATCTTTATTGATTAATTCATATAAGTAATTACATATCAACTATATAAAGACTTAATTTGTATAATAACAAATAAATATAAAATAAATGTAAGAATAAAAGCTCAGACTAAAAGCTTGAACTATAGCTCAAACTAATTATTTGTGACCTAAACCTACTAGAGTGGTTAAAGTTCACCTAGGTTTGAATTGTTAGGATTTGGTTAATAGGTGTATTATATTTAATCTACATAGTGGACCATGTATTAATTTTAAGAGTAGCTTGTTCTAGAGGAGGACAAGTATTAATTTCAAAATGTAGTTGGTCAACGGAGCCACAAGAACAACTGTAAGTATAGTTAGTTTTGTTTTTTCTATTGATTGAGCATAGAGAAGATTGCAGTAGAGTATTATAGTTAGAGTAGGAAGGGATCTGGTGAGATTTTTTTCAGTTAGAAAAGTTGGTACAGTATAGAATTCAGATGTTGCTGTAGAGTTGATTAGAGATTTTGAGAAATAGCTGAATAATAAGTTGAGAAGCATTGGAATATGAGATTTCGAATAGATCTAGAGATTGAATTATAAGTATGGGTATAAAATAAGACCTTTAAGTGTAAAATTGAGGGAGAAAGGGTATAGTTGGAATGGTTGGAGATTGAAGGCAGGATATGAAGAGATAGTATATATAAGGTTGTTAAGTTGATAAGAAGAGAGATTGAGGTTAGTGTTTGTAAAAGTATCATGTATTGATATGTTGATGATTTGAATTAAAGGAGTGTGGTTGGGACAAGTATACCAATGAGAAGAAGATTTTAAATTATTGCAAAAAAAGCAGTTAGAGGATGTAAAAATATGAGAATAAATATTATGAAGATATGTATATGTAGGTAAAATATTAAGTAACATTTTGATTTTAAAAGATTTTAGGTGATTTAATTTAGGATTGGTGAAGTTATAAGAAGTTTTTGATTATTGTTAAAGTATATTCCAGTCAATTTGGTGAGAAAAGTGTGCCCATTCTTGGGTACAGTTTTGTAAAGACCATAAAGCTATATTGTATGCATTGCATATTTTTTTGGTGAAGTGTCTAGAGGGACTATTGATAAAGTTGTCTTTCCAAGATAAGGTATAGTAGGGGTTGTAAAAATTAATATAGGAAGTAGAATGGTTATTAGCAAGTAAATCTGCAAGATTATTGAAAGTGTCATCAGAATGGGCTTGAACTTTGTAGAAGGACAATTGAATATTAAAGGCTTTTAAGATATTGAGGAGTGTAAGCCAGATAGGCCAGGAGTTAAATCTGAAGTATTTGGTGAAATGAAAATATATAGTAAGAAGGTTATTATATTTGAATATAATTGACTGTGAATTAGTATAGATTTGCAAGCTGGAGTTGCGTGGAATTGTAGAGATAACAGATAATATTGCTAGTAGTTTAGCTTTATAAGAAGAAGGCCAATTAGAAATTTGGGCTAA